AGAGAGAGAGAGAGAGAGAGAGAGAGAGAGAGAGAGAGAGAGAGATATTTTGTTAAAGTAGCTCTCTATTTCCCCCTCCCCAGGGAACCTCTCTCCTTATCTTTATGACCTTGCCTCTTGTAGATGCCTCAGATTAGTGGGATCATGTAATATTTGCCCTTTGGTGTCTATATTATTATACATAGCATTATGATTTTGAGATGTACTCAGGTTGTGGTATCTATTAAAAATTTGTTCCTTTTTTGAAGCCAGAAAGTATTCATTGTATGCATTTTCTACCTCTGTGTATCCATGAGTTTGTTCCTGGATGCAGCTTTTTACTGGTTAGTTGTGCCCTTTGATTATTGTGAACAGCATTGCTATGTGAACACTGCATTCCGAGTCTCTGCTCTAATAACTTCCAGAAATGGAATTCCTAGATGTCGTGTTTGGCTTTCCAAGGAATTGACTGATCATTTCTCACACAGAAGCACCATTTTACAATCTCACAAGGAATGCACAGAGTTCAAGCTTCTCCACATCCTTGCAAATATTTGTTAGCTTTTGCCTTAAAAAAAAAAATTAGGTTTATTTTATGTGTATAGGTGTTTTTCCAGCATGTCAGCATGCATACCGCTTGTGTGCCTGGGGCCTATAGAGGTCACAAGAGGCTGTTGGGTTTTGTAGAACTGAGGTTACGGAGGGCTGTGAAGCACCATATGGTGCTGGGAACTGGATTCAGGTCCTCTGCAAGGATAGTAAGTGCCTTAACCATTGAGTTAACTATAGCTCCAGTTTTGTGTTCTTGATAACCATGATCTTAATGAGTGATAAAAATGATAAATTTAGCCAGGTGGCACTGGCACACACCTTTATTCTCAGTACTCGGGAGGCAGAGGCAGACAGATTTCTGTGAGTTCCAGGCCGGCCTGGTCTACAGAGTGAGTTCCAGGAAAGGCTCCAAAGCTACACAGAGAAACCCTGTCTTGAGAAAAAAAAATGACAAACAAAACAAAACTGCTGTTTCAAAAATAATAGCAGCACTGTTACCAGGTGAAAAGGTCATGAAACGTGAAAAAACCCAGTATCAGAGATTTATTAGGAGGAAGGGGGAAGAACCAGGCCTGGGGAAGAAACATGTGCAGAGAGGAGAAGGGGGGGGGGAGAGAGAGCAGAGTAGAGAAGAGTCTGTGTCCCGCTTTTTAAGGATTCCCATGCACATGTGCAGGTGGGCTCATGGAGCTACTCCACACATGCCCTGATTGTGTGACCACACTGCACACATTTGCACGATCGTGCAGTGCACTGATGACGTAAGACCCCCTTGCTTAGCTACTGAACTGCGCATGTACAGTCATGCAGCTGGAGGAACAGCAGAATCCTAACATTCCAGACTCTGCTTATTATAAAAAGCAGGTGAACAGGAATAGGGGCATCGCTTCTCCTGGAAACACTGCTTCCAGCTGACTTGGTGGGCGTTGGTTGACTCTTAGGGGGGTAGGGAGGAAGGCTTCGGAGGTAGACAGGCATCCTGGGGTCAACTGCTACCTGGGAAATCGCCTGACAAGGTGCTGTCCAGGTGGATTCAAGCTGGTTCCAGAGCTTGCTGACCTGTCCAGGTGGATTTTCTGGAGCTTGGAGAAAATTTGAACATATTAAGAAGCAGCTATTAAAGTCTTGGGCTGGTGACCATTGTAGTATTTAGTACTCTGCATATATTGGTTAATGTTAGTGAGAGAGGAAGGGCCTGGGGAAGAAGCATGTGGAGAGGGAGAGAGAGAGAGAGAGAGAGAGAGAGAGAGAGAGAGAGAGAGAGAGACAGAGAGAGAGAGAGATTAGAACATGTTTTTAATTTTTATATGAGATAAGCTTTATCAGAGAAAGATTATTTTAAGGTACCTGTTTCCTTGATTAGTTTAGCATCCAGGAGACAACAGGTGATCAATTGTTGAGAGCATTTAACAGTAATAGATTGTTATATTAAGGTCTGTTTTTGCCTTACCACCTGGGTATACTTGATGATCCTTGGACTCCAACTCTATGGTGATCTCGTAACAATTAGCTGAGTAGTTAATTAGAAGAGGGAACCAGGAAGAGAAAAGCTTGCGGGGTGAGACCTCATTCTTCTGGAATTGGTGACAAGGCAGGGGATCCTGGTGTCCTCTGGAACTTGAGGGAGAGCAGGGTCTGTCTGTGTCACGTGCATGGGAAGGAGAAGCACTGCTCACCGGTCTGGAGGGAGGCACATGGGGGAGCAAATGAAACGAAAGCTCCTACCTTAGCTGGAAAACCTCTTCCCATTAGGTACCCCTGGAAATACAATTAAGTGGTGGGGTCTGGTGAGGTGGGTAAGGCTGTCCCCCTACCCCGACAATAGGGAAATGAGGAGAGGTGGGGCCCCAAAACTCCCTCAGGACTGAGTAAGTGGCTCGGAGTCCAACAGGAAGGAAACAGATCGCCCCATCCTGGGTTCCCTATGAGCCCGTGGCCAAGCCTAGGAGGTCTGCTGGAGGTCTTAGTTTGATGTCCCCATGCCACTGGGTACACAGGGGCAGTCAGCTGACCAGTAGTTATCTCTCTAGGTGGCACTTTGAACAAGGCTCAGTTGATGGCCCGGCGGGGCGTGCACTAGCCTGAGTGGCCTTTTGTAGCACACATTTAAAACAGGGACCTGGAAGCCCTTATGCAGCTGCTTGGATGGCGTGTGCCAGCATTTGGCAATTCTGTTCATGGGCTTTTTTATCCCTCCCATGGTATACCTTAAATGCCACAGCTGACACTTCTGCCTGTGGGGTCAGGAGCCTTGCTCTCCAGATGCTTAAGTTTAGTCCTAACATGAGGGAGCTCTGGGAGACAAGAGATTCTATTCCATGTCTCCATTTTTTTTTTTCATAGTTTGTTGGTTTGAGGACAGCTTTAGGAAGACCTGCCAGGAGGCAGGTTGTAAACTGATCTCTGCTTAGAGAGCCATCTGGATTATTATGATCCCAATGTGGGTCCTGGTTGTAAACTTATTTGCATGAATCCTAGCCTGCTTCCAGACCTGTCCATGCTTAGCGGTCCGCCCAGTACCAGGGAACAGAACAGAGGGCAGATAAGCCGAGGTTCTTTGGAGTCAGAGATTCCTCAGGTTTAGGAATGCATGTGGTCAGGAGAGAGAGAATCAGAAAGGGAGGGCTCAGAGCTTAGGTAAACACATGCAGATAAGGGGACTCTTTCCATTTGCCTGTTCGCTGGCAGAAGTTAGATAATTCCTGTGAAATATTGGGGTTCAAGCAGTCATTACATGGCCAAGTTTACTGGTATCTGGGGATATTTAAGGCATTTCTCAAAGGAGGAGTGGAATTACGAGGAGAAAGCCTCCATGTCCCATGACTGCAGCCAGGAGAAAATAAAAAATAAAAAATTATAATAACAAATGGGATCCCAGGCTTCCATCTCAGGCGTTCCTGAGGACAGGTAATCTGTGGACCTGCATCAGCATAAGTTACCCCATTCATTGTCACGGGAGGGGCAAGGGCTGGGAGGTGTACATACCATGAAAGACCCTAGCCCTTCAGGCTTACACCCCCAAGCCTCAGGAAAAGAGAAACTTCAGGCACCAGGAAATGAGAAACTAAAAATCTAGTTCCAAGGGCAACCTGACTTAGCCACTACTCAATCACCCCTGCCAAAATGTAGCAATATAAAGAGATTTCTGTTAAGAGATGTGCTCAACTGTGACTGGGATAGTTGCAGGTGTTCCAGGAAGGACCACTGTGACCTTTGTGTAAACTCCGCTCCCGCCCTGATATTCCCCCTTGAGGTTTCAGGATGAATGTACACGTGGATGTGACTGTACCCACTCTGTGATCAGACCATGATCTTGTGAAACGAAATTGTATGGAAATTGTAATCTTATGGCTTTTGTGGGTTTTTCCTTTAAAAAGCCCCTATGGGGCTGCAGTAAGATGCGGCTCTTGCTTTTTGGAGCAGAGTTTGCCCTTCTGTACAGTCGCCAATAAACCTCTTGCTATTGCATCAAATGGACTGGAGTCTGGGTTCTTGGGGCACCCACTCGAGAAGATAGTACCCCGGGTCTGGGGTCTATCAACTGAAGGACTCCCCAGGAGTCCAGACAGCATTCAATACTTCGTCAAGAGAGAATGTGTTATGGTACATGGCCGAGGACCCCCCAGGATTCCAGCAAGAGAAATATATCTCAGGCTACAGTCTTGGGAAATGGCGAGGGATTGGAAAGGGGAAACTCACCCATCTTGGCAGCTGGTGTGTTGTGAGGAGCGGCAGAATCCTAACAAGAACAATAAAAAAAAGATACATTTATTTCTGATCCTTCCTTAGGTCTGCATTGATCAGATGTCTGTCCTCATTCTAGGGTCATCTTATCTTTTTTTTTTTTTTTTAAACTGGAAAATTTTTTCATCCAATAGATTCTGATCATACTTTCACCTTTCCCAACTCCTCCCAGATCCTCCCCACCTCCCTATCTACCCAACTTCAAGCTACCCTCCCCCTACAAAAAAATAAACAAAAGACAAACAAAAAGTATAAGAAACACACACACAACCAGAAACCAAAATACACAAGCAAAAAAACTCTAAGACAAAAAAATACCTAAACAAAGCAATATGAGGCAAAAAGTCTACAAAAATACTGTTGAGATCATTTAGTGTTGGCTGCTGGACACGGGGTCTGCCCTGGAATATGGTTGATGTGCTCAGTGATACTCCATTGGAAAAAAACTGATTCTTCCTTTGTCAGTGGGCGTCAGTTGCAGATAGTGTCTTGGTTAGGGGTTGGAGCTCGTGTCCACGCCCTGCTCTCAGAGCTGAGATCCTGTCTGGCTTGCCCCTGGGCAGATGTGTGCCTGCTGCCACAGTGTCTGTGAGTTCGTGCATGCCTCAGTCCTGCTGTGTCCAGAAGGCCTTGTTTCCTCCATGGCTTCCAGCCACTCTAGCTCCTGTGATCTCTTGGCCTCCTCTTCCACATAGCTCCCTGAACCCTGAGTGGAAGGGGTTCGATGAAAACATCCCATTTAGAAATGAATGTTCCAGAATCTCTCAATCTCTGTAAATTATCCAGTTGTGGATCTCTGTGTTAGTTTCTGTCTAAAAGGAAGCTTCTCTGATGATGGCTAGGTCGGGCACTGACCTACCGGTGTAGCAGAATGTTGTTAGGGGTCATTTTATTGCTATGCTCCTTTGGGAAAACTGTAACATTTGGTTTTCCCCTTAGGCCCAAGACCCATCACATCGCAAGTTCTTGACACAAGTGTTATCCTCAGCAATAGCATCTTACCATCAGTTTTTGGAGAACAACCAATAACGTTGGCAATAACCTGAGATGTTTGAGGGTTTCCATGGGTCCCCTTTGGCTAATGACTCAACTAAATGTAACCCATTCCTGGCATTGGAGGTTTCCCTTGGTGGTGTAAGATGTTCAGTTGGGGCATTGTCTCCCCCATTATTTGATAACTGTTTATATTCCTTTCACATACATATATTGTCTTAGTCACTGTTCTATTGCTGTGAGAAAACACCATGACCAAGGCAACTTTTATAAAAGAAAGCATTGAATTAGGGGCTTGCTTACAGTTTTAGAGGGTTAGTCCATGATCATCATGGCAGGAAGCAGGCAGGCATAGAGCTACAGCTTTATATCCCGATCCTCAAGGCAGAGATAGATAGATAGATAGATAGATAGATAGATAGATAGATAGATAGATAGATAGATAGATAGATGGGTGG